GTCCTTTTGGCTGTCCTCCATGGGATCCTCCTCAGCCCTTTTCTCCAGCAACACATTCTCTTAAATGCTGCATTGGTTTTCCTCCTATCCTCTTTCTTGACTGTCCATAGGTTTATAGATTTATATATGCGTGTGTGTATATATATATATATATATATATATATTGCACTCTTCCAGCCCCACACTCTCTCAAATGCTGCATTGGTTTTCCTCCTATCCTCTTTCTTAATTGTCCAGCTCTCCCATCCATCCATGGGAATAATAATAGGGAATGCAATGGCTTGTAGGATTCTGAATTTTGTGCTCAGTTGCATGTCTTAGTTTAATCACATATTTTGTACATTTTAAGCCATGTGGACTTTTATCTGGAACTGTTTTAACATTCGAAAGAGGAAGGAAGAGTGAAGAAAGAGAGTAAAATAAATATGTGGCAACACCTTTAAGACTATGGTCCAAAACACACTGGAGAAATAATCCAGTTTGAGTTGAACTGCCCTGGCGCAGTGATAGGGAATCCTGGGAATTGTAGTTTATTGTGGCACCAGAGCGCTCTGACAGAGAAGAAGGCTAAATGTCTCACAGAACTACAGTTCCCAGAATTCCCTAGCATTGAGCCAGGGCAGTTAGAAAGGAATCTCAAACTGGATTATTTCTGCAGTGTGTTTTGTTATGCAGTGCATAATTGGTTTTTACTTTCATATGCACCTTTGTGGATATAAACCCACTTCTTCAGATGCAGTGCTGAGTGATAATAAATGCCCCAATACAAAGCATACAGTATTTGCAGAGTTGTGGGAATGGGATGGAATATAATATGATCCAGAAGGATGCAATCATGTCCTTTGTCCTAAATTTTCAAAGGTCTGGGCAAAGCGAGACAGATCTGCCAGGTCTTTCCTGTGGTCAGTTAGTGCTGATGTGCAAAAGGAATAAACCTGCTTACCAAAAAGTCAGTTTCCCAGGATTCAGAAGTCTCTTTGAGAAGATTCCTTTTGTGATACAGGAAGTATGTGCAGTAGTGACTCTTGCAATAATGTACGACATAATGGTGCACTATGAAGCCATTATCCTTGATCATACCTCTGATACAGGATTGGAATTTTTTAATATACAGTTGGCCCTCCATTTTTGCAGAGGGTCCATTCTGGACACACACACCCCACGAAAACAGAGGCTCGACAGGACTCAAGTCCCATAGACTTGAATGGGGTGTGCACCCCATTGAAATTAAAGGAGGTCGCCCCTCCGTGAATATCTGAGTCCGCGGATCTCAAGTCCATGAAAACGGAGGGGGGACTATAATTCAATTCAGCTGTTTCTCTTTCTAGGTCCAAAACACATTGCAGAAATACTCCATCTTGAGACCGCTTTAAGTGCCCTGGCTCAGTGCTAGGGAACCCTGGGAACTGTAGTTTTGTGAGGCATCTAGCCTTCTCTGCCAGAGAGCTCTGGTGCCACAATAAACTACAGTTCCCAGGATTCCCTAGCACTGAGCCAGGGCAGTTAAAGCGAGCTCAAAGGGGGTTATTTCGGCAGTGTGATTTGGACCCAGTCTTCCTTTGCAATTCTCTTGCTCAAGTCCTGTAGCCTTTGTTTAAATCCTGTCCTGTATGTCCAGGAAGGTTGAAGTGTTAAATCTTCAGATGATGGAGAGGCAGTGTGGCCTAGTGGTCTGTGCGTGGACTACGACTCTGGAGACCAGGTTCGATTCCTGCTCAGCCATGAAGCCCACTGGGTGACCTTGGGCAAGTCACATGCTCTCAGCCTCAGGGGAAGGCAATGGCAAACCTCCTCTGGACAAATCTTGCCAAGAAAACCCCATTGTAGGTTTGCCTTAAGTTGGAAACGACTTGAAGGCCTGCCCACAACACACAACACATGGATGTTTCCTTTGACCGGTCTCAGCTGGGGACTGTAGGTGACCACTATAGGTGACCACTTGGGGTGTTCTGCCATTTTGTGTCCTGTGGTAGATGGTCCATGAGCGTTAGTTAGCCTTGCTTCGCTGATTTGTTTCTTTGCCTCCATAAGCGGAAGAAACACCTGTTGTGGATCCAAGAGTTTTGGGTCTCTCTCTTTTGCATCTGAGCAGATGCAGTTGTGTCAGAGGGCTTGTTTGGCTATAAACAACAGTGTGTGTGTTTTGGGAGGACACTGGAGGTCCGTATGTCCGTACCTACGGAAGGGTAGCCATCAGTAGGCCTTCCGTAGAGCATCGTGCTTGGAAGACCTTTGTGCAAGTTGGGTCAAGAAAGTGCATTTGTTCCCTGGATTGCTCCAGGCTCAGGTTGACCGAAGAAGGGTGGAAGTTGTTGAAATCCTGGTGGAATTGTTTTCCAAGTGGCCAAATGGCAAAGATATTGTCATGAAACCATAGGAAGAGGAAAGGCTTTTGGAAGCGTCGTTCCAGGTCGGCCGTGAAGATGTTTGCAAACTCTGGTGCTAAACGCTTAAAACATTTTTTTTAATTTTTATAGTTTTATTATTAAAACAACATAGACATAAACATCAACAAATACAAACATAATATATTTTACAAACATACATAACATTAACTAACAAAACACAAATACCTATCTCTAAGTTACATAAAATAACTTCCCTCCTTTACTCAGGATATTCACTATTTATATTATCGACTCTTAAATAAATCCCTTTATCTTATTTTAATCATTCAGTTATAGTATTCAATTTCGTTACTCATCCTAATATCAATTTTCTATATCTGTCTCTGTTGACCGGAGTTAATATTTATAAATAATATACTATCATTATAAAATTAAATTAATAATTGTAACCAATCCAATAATATTTATTCAGTCTTTCAAAGCAATCACACCACTTTCACCCCATATTGTTTTCAAATAATTTGTAATCAGGGCCCAATCTCTTTCAAATTTGTTTTTCGTTTGACCTTTCAAAAGACATGTTAATTTATCTAATTCCATTGTATGCTTAAAACATTTGTAAGCCTTTGAGTCAGTCCCAGGGCTGGGAAAAGGGCAAGATATATAGTACGTAAAATAATAATGATCATGATAATTTGCCGACTGTTTGTCAACAGTGTTTAAAATTATTAACAAGTAAAAGGGACAACTCACTCCACTCCCTTTTAATTCAGAATTGTCTTTATCCAAAAGAAATGACGAAAGACAGCCATCACCAACAGGCAATTGTCTCAGCCCTTGGGGAACAAAAGATGAACTATTCATTGATAAAATGATTTTGAAGAAGGGCAGAAGGTGAAAAACAAATTTGTACAGATTGACTATGAAAAAAGAATTTTGTTCTGTATTAAAGGCACGGATTGAAAAGTGTCTTGAAATGCTAAGCATCAGAAAAACAACAGAAAATTCCTCCCAGCTGTAACAAAATCAGTGTTAACAATAAATGGGCAAGAATGACCAGAGCAAGTGGTCCAAAACGCACTGCAGAAATAATCCAGTTTGGGACTGCTTTAAGTACCCTGGCTCAGTGCTAGGGAATTCTGGGAACTGTAGTTTTGTGAGACATTGGAGAGCTCTGGTGCCACAGTAAACTACAATTCCCAGGATTCTCTAGCACTGAACCAGGGCAGTTAAAGCGGTCGCAAACTGGATTATTTCTGCAGTGTGTTTTGGACCAATATTAGGCATGGGATTAGCAGGGAGAGTCTCTGTTTCCTTTACAATTTGTTATTGCAACAATATGTTTTTCTGCAATTGTGAGAAAGAAAGAAAAATCAGGGATACAAAATACCAAAGCAAGCTGGAAACATAAATCATTTAAGGACATGTTAAAACTGTATGGAAGGTCACCATCAGAAACTGAATCCGTATTGAAACCTGTAAGGATATTTAAACAAGACATTTTAATGGAATTTGGAATTACCGATAAACAGAAGTACAGTGGCTCTGTCTGAAGGAAATAGCATTAAAAGGGTGCAAATGACAGATAATCTGGAATTATTTCAAGTAGGAGATACTCAGGATAGGAAAGAGAGTATGCCAAAAGAGTATGCAAAACTTTAAAATCAAGATTCAACAGCAGAAACATAATTCAGGCCATAAACTCCTGGCTTGCACCAATTATTCAGCAAAGAGCTGGAATTGTAGACTGGACTTCAGCAGAATTAAATGCACAAGACAGAAAATCTGGAAAGATGATGACAGCAAAATAGGTGATATTTATTACCTATATCAACCACCAAATATTGGAGGCTGAGGGTTACTGCAGAAGAAGAGAAATGACCCTTTAGTCTAGTGAATGTATGAAAGAAAGTAAAGCAAAAATATGTTGCTATAAAGAGAATATATATTGAGCAATGAAGAAACAGTTCAGGAAGAATTTGTTTTAGTATATCATCATATTATTTTAGCATTTTAGCATTATTGTGTTTTATTGTTTTTGATTATCTATGTTTGATGTTCCACCCTTTGGTGGAAAGGTGCTATAAATAAATGTTGTCATTATTAAAGAAAAGGTATGTACAGTCGGCCCTCTGTACCCACGGATTCTTTATCCACGGATTCTACCACCCATGGCTTGAAAATATTCCAAAAAAAAAGTATAAATTCCAAAAAGCAAACCCTGATTTTTGCCACTTTATATAAGGGACACCATTTTAGTATGCCATTGTATTTAATGGGACTTGAGCATCCATGGATTTGGGTATCCAAGGGGGTCCAGGGACCAAACCCCAGCGGATACCAAGGGTCCACTGATTATTAGAGAGAAAATCGTGAAAAATGGCCTTGAAGCCTGGCAAAACAAACCATTACATGGTCAGAAGATAAAAAGCACAGAAGGAAAAGCTGCAAACATCTGGAAATGGCTGCAGAATGAGAGACTGAAAAACCAGGCTGGCAGACTTATCTAT